TCGCGGCCGAACGCCGGCCTGGTATATCACTTCTTATGGAGTTGTTTGACGATCCACCACCGAGGGGCCTTGCTATCACTCGCCCGCGCCGCCGCGCCGCTCACACACGACAGGACCACTCACCCGCCGGTAGAGGGCGTATGATAAGTAGGTGTGAAGAGAGAGAGGAAACGCGATATTATAAGAAGAGGGTTTTACTTTTTCGTTTTAGCGTTCCGGGTCTAGGCTGGTCGGGTGCGGGGGTGTCCTCGCCATCGCCTTCGGCAGCAGAATCCTAGTCGTGTTTTCCACCTGGGCCTCGGTCGTGTGCCAGATGGCAAGGTGCCCAGGACACCATCCCGACATTTCGAACACTCGACGGCCTCTCTGCCCCGTCCTGCGCGACGGTTTCGCGCGCGATCGCCCGCACGAAGTCGGCGCCTCGAAGGCATCGGCTGGATTCTGTGGAGTTGGAGCGGCGTCGACCACGGCCAGCCATCTGCAGGTCCGCGCCGGCGACGAGCCGGATCGGCTGTCGCGCCGTGTAGTTCGTTTCGGCGCGGCCAGGGACTCAGATCATTACTAGACTGGGAGTTCGTCGGCCGGACTCATCAGACTGACCGGGGAGTTTTCGTCTCCCGGGCCATCGTCGGTCCGCGAGCGCGCGGTCACTCGTGTTTCCTAAGATGCTTGGGGAGCGCGATCTGTGTAGCGGCGGTCGCGAGCTGGTGCGCGACACCTACCGGTTCTAGTAGTGTTGACATTCTGTCATTCTGACGTAGCAGAGCGGAGTGAAGAATCTAAAATCATCGCGCAAGCACAAACTTTTAGATTCCACGCTTCACTCGCAATGACAAGGAAAAGCGGAATAACGTGAACTGTCCACACTACCTAATCCACTTGTTGAAGCCTGGGTCGGCGCTCGAGATGTATCTGCTCTCTCAGTTCTGCCTCGGGAGCTGACGGAGACTCCACGACAACCGAGTGAGTGGCTGCTTGAACGCATCTATGAGGCGATTACAACAATAGCCATCACTGAGATTGGGACGCATCGAGAAGACGCCTGTGAATCGTTGCACCTCCTCGATTACCTGAGAGAGGATTCATGAGAAGGTCGATAGAGAGTGGAGCGCGGCGAAATATCGTCAGCTGCACATTCGCTGCAGCCTGTCGGAAGGAGTTTCTAGTGCAGGGTCCCCTGAAGCTGAACAACGCGCCGGTGGCTCTGGTCTTGTCGCGTCCATAGGGACTCTGATCCTACTCGGCACTTGCTTGGTTAGAGTCGTTGGATGGCATAGGTGTATCAGCGCTGACCATAATAACCGTTGCAATCGAGTATCTTACTTACGAAGCTGAGAGGCGAATCGAATATCACCAACCACCAGCCACAGCTCGAAGACGGTGCGAGCTTCAGTACAACGTCGGCCACCAACGATGCATGGTAGCAGCACCGTCTTCGAGATCTGTCGCTAGCGGCGTGAGACGGATCCTTTGATTGCCGTGGTCGGAAGGTTCCAGTAGCTGGCAGGCACTGAGTGGACAGTAGTGTACCAGCGAGGAGGTACTGTGTAGGAGTTGTTGAAGCTCTCCACACCACTGATGACCCTGCCCCGCGGCATTTTGGTGGCGACATGTCAGGGGATCAAGGAGCGCCAGTGGTGTCCTCCGTGGTCCGCAGCCAACCGCTGCCAGTCCACCTGGAGGAATTGGGTCCAGCCAAAGTCAACCTACGACGGCGGCTACAGGAGGCTCGGAGCTCGTCTCTCGCATTGGCGTCAACAGGTGCGTCTCCATTCGATCTGTGAACAGGAGCCGAGGCCCAAAGTCCCGTCGGCCAGCTCAACCACTGGGTGGGCTTCGGTGCTGACGTTGGGCCGGCCCTAGCCTTCACCAACGCCATAAGCGGTGTGTGCAGATAGTGTCTCCATCGGCGGCCATCTCAGACCCCGACTCTTTCTGGAACCGCTTGAGCCGCCTGCGGGAGTTGTCGGGGAAGACGCAGGTTCTCTCTGCTGTGGTGCGATGCGTCACGCTGTCGAGGGCATGGCACAGGGCTCCAGAGACACAGCCGTATGCCCTCGTACTCATGCGGGCACAGGGATCGCCATTCTGCATCGTCATGCGCCGCGGAGAGCGGTCCAGGCCGGCCGGACGCGTCCTGCCTATCCGCGTTCCTACGGCCTTGGCCTGCTTCTTCTTGCTCCCCGCTACTGGCCGGGCCCGTTGACGGTGAGCTCAGCCCGCCGACAGCTTCCTATCGTCCGCCGTGCAGATGGCGCCCTGGGCGGAGTCAGTCGGTGGTGGCGTTCAGGGACTAGGCCACGTCGGGCTGGAGCCATGGTGTGATCGTAATCTCCAGCGGACGTTCTTGCCGGGCTCCAGCCAGCGCACACTAGGTCACCCGCGCCCCGGTCATCGGTGTGAACGCATGGTCGGCCGCCAGGCAGAGTGGTCACAGTCGCTCAATCGGTAGCTCCGCTCCTCGCTGAACGCAGCTACGAATGGTAACGTGGAGCTCCCGTCATTGGACGACGGCACGTGCGTGGGCGCTGGCCGTCAACGGCGGTCTAAGCGACTGCCCAGCGCCGCCGACCGAGCTCGTTTTCGGCGCTGGTGAGCTCTTCGTCGGTTGCCCGCGTCCGTCGTCGGTGAGGTCACCCTCACCCGTTGATGGCCTTGCCCCTCGTCGGCGGCAACAAGGGTGTAGGTGGAAGCTGTGCCGCCGCGTCCGTTTATGCTCGGCGTCTGTCGGTAACCACTGGTCGCGAAGGCAGCGTTGACTCAGGCCGTCGTCGTCGATATGCCGGTGGTGTGCGGCGGTGAGGGCCTCCCCCACCTGGGCGGCGCCGGTGATGTCGGAGCGCCCGTGGCTGAGTGTTTGAGACGAGGAGCCGCCGCCGACCGCTATTCTGTGTCAAACGGGCTGGTCAGCATCCTCGTGCTGTTGCCCGCGTCGTCTGTGAAGTCACCCCTCACCTTGATGGCCTTGCCCTCGTCGGCAGCACAAGTGTAGGTGAAAGGAGCGTTGTCGCGTTGATCTCGGCGTCGGCGGCGAACCACTGATAGGCGAGGCACAGCTGGTTGTCTAGGCCTGTCGTCGTCGGATATGCCCGGTGGTGTCGGCGGTGAGGGTCTCCCCACCTGGCGGCGAAAAACCTGAAGTATGTCAAAATCGTGGAGCGCCCGTGGCCGGGTGTTCGCGTCCCGCCGGAACGACCAGCAGAGCACCGGACAGCTGCCCGCCGTCCTCCGTGCAGATGGCGCCCGGGCGGAGGCATGTCGGGGTGGTGGCTTCAGGTACTATGGGCCACGTTGTGCAACTGGATCCGGGGTGACGTGATCTCCCAGCGGACGTTGCTGGTCGCGGCTCCAAGCCGGCGCAAACATAGGTCGCCGAGCCCCCGTGACGGTGAACGCATGGTGCGCACCGTCGTTTAGCTGATGCCACGGCGTGGTAGCCTCGCTAAACTGCAGCTCGAAGTGACGTCGTCCTGCCCGTTGTGGGACGACGGCGCGTCGTGGGCCCTGGCCGTCAGCGGGCCGAGCCGTGTCGTTCGTGAACGCGACTGCCCGCTGAAGGAGGCCGCCTTCCTGCTGCCCCGATTGTCCCGACATGAAATCCGAGCCAGTCCGGCACGTGTAGTCGCGCCTACAACGACAGACCATTCTACCCAGCGATAGTCCCACTCGCAAGGCCAAAAAGAGAGAAAAATAGAGCGATAGTAGAAGTTCTAATAGAGGGGAACAGGAACCGACATCAGCATTGGATTCGCGCACTTCAACACCGACGGCGATGAGCGACCGGATGACCCGTTCACGTTCACTTGCGTCGACGCGGTCTGCCGCAGCGTGACGCCCGTGTCCAGAACCCTCGTTGTATGGGTAAGTCAGCGTCCAGATGGTCGCCGTCCACGTCGACTGGTAGCTGCAGGCCCGACGGCCGTCCACCACGAGTGGGCGCGCGGTCAGCGTCGCCTCTGTTTGCCCCCGTCGTCGGTTTTGAAGGCGACCCTCAACCGATGGCCTTGCCCACGTCTCCGGACCTACGGTGTAGGTGGTGCGGTGGCTCTGGCGATATCCGCGTTCTTTTTCCGCCAGCCACTGGTATTGGATACAACGTTTCTCCGAGGGCGTCGCTCCTCATGTCCGTGGTGTCGGCCGACAGCGTCTGCCCGACCTCCGGGATTCCGTCGATGCGCGGCCCGCCTTCGGCCGGGGTGTTCTCCACAGCTTGCTGCTGCACCTGTAGGCTACATGTATCGGCCGGGGCCTCCGGTTCATGGCAGTAAAGCGATACCGGGGGCGACCACCAAGTGCCCCAGGTTGAGCCGAACCGACCCCGTACACTGAGTGAGAGAGCGCCAGCCCCTTCGAAGTTCACTGTGCCGTTCATCGAAAAGTAAGGTCCATCGGGAGTGCCGGACGACTCATCGAAGCTGTAACTGACCTCGCCCGCGCCGTGTCGTCTGGTGTTGATGTGCACAGCCCATTCATCCGCTCTCCTGTTGCCATCCGGGCCGGTCCAGAAGGCCCTGAAACCCTCGGAGCCGGTGCAGGACTCCCTCTGCAGCACGTTGGTTTGGTCGGCATCGGGGTCCAACCAATAGATACTAAGCCGGCCCAATTCGAACGCTTCATCGCCTTCCGGTCCGGGCGGCACTGCGTACGGCGCCTGCGGCGTCCCCTTGACGGAAGCCCACGCGCCCGTTCCCATCCGGTTCACCGCCGCCACCTGCACCTCGTAGGCGCGCCGGTTCGTCAGCCCCGTAATGTCCTCCTTCCGAACGCTGCTGCGACGTTGACGCGGGATACATTCCGCCACGAGCGATGCGCCTCACTGCGGTAGCGCAGGAAGAGGGTAAGCGCAGCGCACAGGTAGTGAAGTGCGACGCGCGCGCGTCTTCGACGTCTCGCGGGTATTTCCCACTCACATCAAAGGCTTTGGTCCTCCCCGTATGCAGTCAGACTGGTGGGCGCCAGCCGGGCACGGTGGGCGTGCCTTCTGGCGTGGTGGCGATGTCGCGAGGCGCGACTGTACGCCCCGTCGGCGCTGTCAGGCCCCTCGCTCACCCGGCTTGGCAGCGCCTCCGAGGCGAGCAGCACGCACTACGCAGTCCTCGTCCATGTCGTCCTGGGTCGCCATAGAATGGTGAACGACGTCAACGTTTCTCCTGCGTTGAACGTCACGCTCAACGGCACGGAGTAGTCGGCGGAGGTCGCGTCGCCCTGGCCCGTCGCCTTGAGGGGACTGACCACCGTGCGCTCAGGGTCGACTCTCAGGGTGACCCTCACCGACTCGTGTCGCCCTCACAGACTGTGTAGGCGTCCCCGCCCCTAACGACAACCGGCACCTGCAGGTCCCGTCACTGCGGTGTCCACCACTGTCGGGTCGGTCGTCGTCGGTGACCGTCACCGGCAGGTCGGCGGTTATGCCGGCGTAGTCGCCGCCTGAGGCGGTGTGCGTCAGCGTGGCGGTGTCGTTGGCCCCGTCGTTGTCCTGGCCCGCCTCGACCGTCACCGCCTGCGCAACGTCCCACGTGTGTCGCACACGTAGAAGGTCCGCATGTTGGCTGCTCAGTGCGTGGTTCGCCCGCCGAGGCTGAGGTCAAGTGCCGTACGTGTCCTGAGATAGTGACAATGACGGATGTCGGAGGGCTGGCTGGGTGCCAGGACACACCGTGTAGCATCGACCCCGCGGCGTCTCCCTCCGTAAGGTGAGTCCGTCTCGCATGAGTCACGATGTCCGCCGCGTCGTCGTCGGTGATGCTGACCGGCAGGTCCTTGGTGACGTTGAAGTAGTCGCTGCCTGAGGCGGTGTGCGTCAGCGTGCGGTGTCGTTGGCGCCGTCGTTGTCCTGGCCCGCCTCGACCGTCACCGTCTGCGCAACGTCCCAGTTGTCCACCGTGAAGGTCAGGCTCGTCTTGTCCAGGCTCAGGTCCGTGCCGTCGTGTCCTGAGATAGTGACGATGACGGTGGCGGAGGGCTGTGTGGCGAGCTTGACGGTGTAGCTAGTCCCCGCGGCGTCTCCCTCCGTCACGGTGACGTCCGTCTCGCTGAGCACGATGGCCGCTGTGTCGTCGTCGGTGACCGTCACCGGCAGGTCCTTGGTGACGTTGGCGTAGTCGCCGCCCGAGGCGGTGTGCGTCAGCGTCGCGGCGTCGTTGACGGTACGTGTCCTGGCCCGCCTCGACCGTCACCGTCTGCGGGGTGTCCCAGTCGTTCACAATGAAGGTCAGGGTCGTCTTGTCCAGGCTCAGGTCGGTATCCGCGTGACCGGTAATGGAGACCGATACGGTGCCCGAAGGCTTAGTGGCCAGCTTCACCGTGTAGCTCGACCCGACAGCATCTCCCTCCGTCAGGGGTGAGGCCCGGCTCGCTGAGCACGATGTTCGCACTGTCGTTCTCGTTATGCTCACCTCCACGTTCGGCACGGTCGTCGAGGCGTAGCCCCCACCGGAGATGGTGTGCATCAGCGTCGCCACAGCGTCCGTACCCCGTCATCGTCCTCCTCGCCGTAACGTCAACGTCTGCGCATCGTCCCAGTCGTCAACCGTGAAGGTCAGCATGTCGCTGCTCAGGCGTCAGGTCGTGCCCGACATGTCCGTAATGGAGACCGACCGCTGGTCCGAGGGCTGGTGGCCAGCGCCACGGTGTAGGTCATCCCCGCGGCGTCTCCCTCGCCCACCGTCAGATTATCTTTGGAGATGACGAGCCCCGCCGTGTCGTTCTCTGTGACCGTCACCGGCAGGTCCCTGGTGACGTTGACGTAGTCCGCCGCCCGAGGCGGTGTGGGTCAGCGTCGCCACAGCGTCCGTAACCCCGTCATCGTCCTGCCTCCGCCCGTAACTGTCACCGTCTGCGCATCGTCCCAGTCGTCAACCGTGAAGGTCAGCATGTCGCTGCTCAGCGTCAGGTCGGTGCCCGAATGTCCCGTAATGGAGACCGACACGCTGTCCGAGGGCTGGGTGGCCAGCGCCACGGTGTAGGTCATCCCCGCGGCGTCTCCCTCGCCCACCGTCAGATTATCTTTGGAGATGACGAGCCCCGCCGTGTCGTTCTCTGTGACCGTCACCGGCAGGTCCTGGTGACGTTGACGTAGTCGCCGCCCGAGGCGGTGTGCGTCAGCGTCGCGGCGTCGTTGACGGTATCGTCGTCCTGGCCCGCCTCGACCGTCACCGTCTGCGCCGTGGCCCAGTCGTTCACCGTGAAGGTCAGCATGTTGCTGCTCAGCGTGGGTCCCGACAGGCTCAGGTCCGTGCCGTCGTGGCCCGTAATGGAGACCGATACGGTGCCCGAGGGCTTAGTGGCCAGCTTCACCGTGTAGCTCGACCCGACAGCAGAGTCTCCCTCCGTCAGGGTGAGGCCCGGCTCGCTGAGCACGATGTTCGCACTGTCGTTCTCCGTGATGCTCACCTCCACGTCCGGCACGGTCCGTCGAGCCGTAGCCACCACCGGAGACGGTGTGCGTCAGCGTCGCCACAGCGTCCGTAACCCCGTCATCGTCCTCCGCCGCCGTAACGGTCACCGTCTGCGCCGTGTCCCAGTCGTTCGTGGTGAAGGTCAGCGTGGTTCCCGACAGGCTCAGGTCCGTGCCCGCGGGAAGGTCACGCCGACGGGCACGTCGCCCGTTGGCCGGGAGCCCAGGACGAGGGTGTACGAGTTGGACCCACCCTCAGGCACCGTCAGGGTCTGCGTCGATGAGCTCACCCCGACCTGAAGGGTCGGCTGCTGACCGGCAACAGCCACCACCGAGACGACCACCGGCTCCGCGGTGACGAAGCGTAGTCCGCCCCCGCAACGGCGTGGGCCAGGGTAACCTTCCCCGTGGCGGCGCTCTGAGTAGCTGATACGGTGACCGTCTGCGCCATGCTCCAGTCGCCCACCGTGAAGGTCAGGGTCGTATTGTCAGCGTGGGTCCCGACAGGCTCACGTCCGTGCTCGCATGGCCGGAGACGGTCACGGTGACCTCGCCCGTCGGCTCGGTGGCCAGCTGACGGTGTACTCGTTGCTCCGGCCCGCCACAACGCTCAGCACCGTCGGCTCTATCGTCACCCCCGCCGTGTCGTTCTCCGTGACCGTCACCGGCAGGTCCCTGGTGACGTTGGCGTAGTCCCCGCCCGAGGCGGTGTGCGTCAGCGTCGCCACAGCGTCGGTAACCCCGTCATCGTCCTCCTCTGCCGTAACTGTCACGGTCTGCGCATCGTCCCAGTCGTCAACCGTGAAGGTCAGCGTGTCGCTGCTCAGCGTGGTTCCAGACAGGCTCAGGTCCGTGCCGTCGTGTCCCGTAATGGAGACCGACACGCTGCTCGTGGGCTGGGTGGCCAGCGCCACGGTGTAGCTCATCCCCGCGGC